GATTTGGCATAGCAATGCACGACCCGAAACTCGAATTTTAGTTCGAGGGGTTTTCGGCCTACACGACCTAAATCAGAGTTGAAGATATCATTAATAGGAACTCAACGATAAAAAGACAGACGAAAACAGAGTCCGTATGAAGGAGTTACGAATTTTTCGCGGTAATTTAACAGTCTAATCTCCTCCTACTGTTAAATTTAATATCGGTCGAGAATTAGCCGATGGAGTCAAAATGAAAGTTGTAGATCTTGTTTTTACCTACGCGTGGATATAAAGAACGTCAAAAACGGAGCTCGTATGCGAAAGTTACGGGGTTTAGAAGTCGGCAGGGTGCTACTGCAAAAGGGGTGACGTGACACAATACAGACCACACACGTATGGCCACCAGAAAGCTGACAAGTGGCACTGACTCGGCGAGTCAGTGACCCAACTCGGCGAGTCCATCCCATTCATTCTCACACCTTCCCAACTTCACTTTCTCTCTCTAGACTCTCTCTAGCCTCCCTTAAGCCCCCTAAAGTCTAGGTAAACCCCCTAGCACCCGAAGGAAGCCCCGAGGCTCCCAGAGCCCTGAGAAAAGAGCCTTTCGGCTCGGGAACGCTGCTCCAGCGAAGCCCGGTTTTGCGAAAAACCCGATGTAAGTGAGCTACGCCTACCCTATCTTTAGTATAACTTATGTTTTAATATAGTAATGTTATTAGGACCTTATAATGAGTATTTGGGCTATTATTATGAGTTATATAAGTGTCGTTATAATATCTTTTTAACCACTCGCGGTACGGGAAATCTGGTTTGGAGGGCCGCTTGGGTTGCTGGATTCAGAAGTGCTATATGCCAAAATGATCCTGCCCTCCGGTGTTTCATGTCTGGCCCCTGTCTGTACATAGTGGGTGAAGAGTATTGTGTTAACGCTTATATAATAGTAATAATTAGTCTCGGTTAATATTAGACTAAACTCTAGTCGTAATGATACTAGGTTTTGTCCGAGGGAAATTGTTTTAAGATTAACAAAGCGCTGTCCAAGTACCGAGTCACCACCTTATCAGGTGAGTGCATAGTTACTTTCATCTTACACATACATATGAAGTATTTTAATATAAATTACGTGCTATGTGTGTATATTGCCTGAATGCTTGCTGTCTATGCTGGGTGAAAGATTTTTTATACATGTTTTAAATGATTTAAACTGTATATGTATTTTATAAATATAATTCGTATTATATTTGGGCAGTGGGATGGGTGCTTTCCACCTTACTTCCTGTTCCTTGTTTGGTTGTGGGCTTAGGGCAGAATCGCTCAATCAACTGTCCATTCGATCTTGATTATAAATATAATTTGTATGCACTAATAAATCACAGGAGGGCATATATGGGTCATACCAACACGTACCAGTATAGCACACCATTTTCTAGAACAGAATTTACAACTCTGGGGGAAACCATATATCAACGCAGTTTTATCAAGTAACAAAACAACAAGTATACGAATTTAACGCACACCAATATGCAAACACTTTGGTCTTAGGGTTTAAGACTACTTCTTAAATAAACTAAGTTTGGAATCTGTACTTGAACCTTTCGGTCTTGGAACAATTAACAGTTCAACTCGGTTTCTATGGAAAATATATGATTTTTTAGGATCAATATCATTATTTACAAGTAAACAGTTTGCAACCTAACTTTCTGAAAACACAAGGCGAACACGGATCGAAAATAATGATTTACAGTAGAGTAGGTGCAACTAGGAACCTATTTACAAAAGATTTAACATTTAGTTACAAGTCATTTACTTATCATTCATCACATCATAAAATATATGATTTTCTGGAGGAAAACATTAACTTTCTCAAAGAACAAAGAGCATACTTTCCAAAAACAAAATGCTTATGAACTCACCAACTTTAATGTTGATACTTTTTCAAACCACTTGTATTCTGAGGATAACAAATAGACAGGTACCCTCTCGGGCATTCCGAAGACGGACCATGGTTGCTTTACGTCATATCTTTTGCGATAGTTCAATGTTAAACAAGTATTATTTTGAACACAACGTAAACTATGTTTTTAATACAATGGTTGTTGTTGCTTTGATTACTATTATTCAATGGTTGTGATACTATACATGACGTCCTCCGCCCCCGAACGTTTCCGCCGTTTCGGTTTGGGGGTGTGACAGGTGTTAGTCAGTTCGCGAGGTTGTCTAGTGCAAGGAATGGAGAGTGTTGCAATATTCTCCGGCTCTGCATTTCAGGTGAGTTTCCTCACTATACTATGTATTAAAGTGTATATCCTTGTATGATAGGATATAGGAGTAGTGGTATGCTGGTTAGAATACCAGTAGGTTGGTAATCGTCTAGTTGAGTACCCTAGGGGTTGTATGTAGTCATGTAGAATAGCTTGAGAACTCTTGATCTAGGCTTTCTTGCATGTTCCTTGTTTGGTTGTGGCTCTAGAGTGGGATTAGGGGTGGCAATTTATGACACGACACGACAAAAATAGACGACACGAAACGGAATTGGGACGAAACTGAAATTCGAATTCGTGTTCGTGTTCGTGTCGTGTTCGTGTCAAGTGTAAATAACACGACGTCGTGTCGTGTCGTGTCGTGTTCGTGTTCAAAAGTCGACACGAAATTGACACGATTTAGCATTTATTTGTCGTGTTTGTCGTGTTATATATGATTAAGTATTAATTAAATAAACTAATTTTTATTTATTTTATCTTTGTCGTGGCGTGTCGTGTTTGTCGTTTTTTAATCGGTTCGTTTTCGTGTTAGTTAAAAAAAACACGACATCGTGTCGTTTCGTGTTCGTGTTACTTAAAACCTTGTCGTGTCGTGTCGTGTCAGACAAAAACACGACACGATGGCCCGATTTGCCACCCCTAAGTGGGATCACCTGTTCGATTGTCTATCTCATCTCTGATTATATATAGTTATGCATTCATTGGAGATCTTCCTGGTGTGGCGTAGTGTACTGTATGAGACCATGTATGCGGTAATGAGTTGTTAGACAGGTAGACTAGTATAGTCAGTTGCATGTGTTGATGTTCTTGATTGATTGTTTGTTTACTATATATATATCGACATATCTTATGGTGGGTTGAGGCGGTCCTGCTCTGTACAGTACGACAAGATAACCTAGCGGGCCAACGGTGTGTTGTAGGCCAGGTACGGGCCTGTTGTATGTTGTAGGCATGGAGGAGAGCGGTCCAGCTATACACTGTAGGATCAAGAGAGCGGTCCAGGTGTACTGCAGGCCTCGCAAGGCGGTCCAATTAAACTAAAGGCTCATGTGCGCATGCATTGTATGTATATTGTGGTGTGTGGTATTTTGGGGGAACTCATTAATCTTTGGCTTACAGTTGTGGTTTAAATGTTTTTCAAGTACTTCCGAATACCGTGGAAAGCCGAAGGCGTGACTGTACACACCCATCGACAACATTGGAGTTCCGCGTTTATTATATTATTTAGGTTTTCAAATACTTGTATCTTGAACAAATGGGTCTTCTTGACTTGGGTTTTTTATGGAAATGATGTTTTACCTTAATTAAAATGAAATTTTTGTTTGTGAAAATGGGATGTTACATGTTGCATGCTAGATTATTGTTGATTGCTCATTTCATGAAAATCTCAATCAAAATATAGAAGGGATAAACCAAAAATGGGGGAATAGAATCGTCAACCTATGACCTATGTAAATGATGGTCGAAGAATGTAGATTAGGCCGACTAATGCTTAACTTTTAATCCCAACGGTTATTAATTAGAAACTTTTTTAAAGGGTTGAATCACTCTCAAAGGTTACAGATTTCAATTTCAATTAGGTAACTCGAATCTAGTTATATGATTTTTGTTTGTTTTATGTGGTTACATTTGCATCTCAAATTTGATAGTAGATTAGTTATGAATAAGGTAATTCTTTTTTCTTCACCGATTTGGTTGTTTGGAATATATTCCTATTAATCTTTCTACTCGTATATATAATATTATGACATGTGGATACCACTAATTATCTCTCTTAATTTCATCTTTTTATATTAAAACTTGTCTTAATCTAATGATTAGGAGGATAAACAGGAAGAAATTGTAGGAGGATATTTGATTTCTCTATTTAATGGTGTAATAAAATTAGGAATTTCCAAGTTTGTTGAATATTTTGACTATTGTTCATTGTTTGGAGACTAGTTTGTTGTAATACTGATTTCTCTATTGTTCATTCTTTAAAGTCATAAAATAGGATTTTCTTTTTCAATTGTGATTTCTCAAATCTAAATTTCATTAGTACTTGGTTTTTGGTAGGTGTCTATTTGATTTCTTTTTTCAACACTAATATCGTAGCAGTCCATGCTTCCATTATTAAGATGTTTTTTTTACTAGTTATTTATAATCATTTGACTCGTCCCTTTGATATTTATAATCATAGGAATTGGGATGGGCTTGATAATAAAACCAGATCTATTCTAATTAAAAAAAAAAAAAAAAAAGGGACCAATAAGAAGAATGAATCTTGTGTTTCTTAAAGGCTAAAGATAAAAACATGTATACATGTTTCTTATGTTTTTTATACTAAAAAGTTAATTAAGGGAGAGACAATTGAATGGTTAGTTCACTCACAGTTTGTTGATGAAATGTATTGTTTTTGTTGTAAACTATTTAAATCTACTAATCAAAAAGGCTTTATAACAAAAAAAAATGTCGAACGGTTTGATTATCTATGTAGGAAAATATATTAGATAACGATGATCTTGACATTATTATCATATATCTTGAATCTAAAATAGCTACTAGAAATATTTCTTTAATTGGATTTTTTTCAAATGGTTTGGCTATTTTTATGTCTTTGACGGGTCCTTTTTTTCCTTTCGGCATGGACTCAAAATATATTTACAAAAGAAATGCTCATATTATATGCTTTACAAAAGATTTTTTTTGAAGTATGCAAGTTCTTATAAGAGTTAAACTATGAAGTACATGCAATCATACACTTATTTTTCTTTATGTATCACTTAAATAACACCTATAGAATGAAAAATACTAAACAACAAAAATACCAATCAAGTTTTTCATCTTCTCCAACACAGTTACACCCTTGTAACCGATGAAAAAAACTGAAAATTTAAATTAAAAAACAAGCTACATTCAACAATATATTTCATAATCTTCTAATTCAATGGTGCCTTTCCACATCTTAATGCATTCAATGGGATGTCATATTCAGTGTGAGAACTCTTTTCATCATTCCAAACTCTTGTATACAACTCCTGTCCCAAATATCTCCTTGGCCAAATTGCAGACCTCAGATTCCACATCCCCTTGTTGTCCATAGAAACCAATATTGCACTCCATGAATTTGGATACACCTAACACCAAATCACAAAATAATCAGCAACCAAATCTACTTTCATACAAAAAAAAAATCACAACTTTAATTAATACCTGCATAGTGTGTCTTGTGGTAGCATCATTCAGATTATAAAATCTTTTCCTAAGTGTAGCATTCCACTGCCCAGATCCAAACCTATACAAATTATAACAAATCAAGATTCAAGATATGTGATTTTGATTCTTTTTAAAAGAAAATATAAAAGTGACTTATCAGTTATCACTTACCCAACAGCCCAAAAATCAGACCCATCAAGATGCCATGATTGAATAGTTCCCTCATTGTTTTGGAAGACAATTTCAACAAAATCATGAAGAGTGAATCCCATAACAGAGGCACCTATAACAGGAGGGGTTGAAGGAGGTGAATCTTTGATTGAGCTTAAGTGGAAGACTCCAGGAATGTTATAAAAGTCAGCAATCTTTAATGGAGTTTCTGGGTTAGCATACGACACCTGATTCACAGCATACCTAAGTTTTCCATTAATGTTTGCAGCTGAATTAGCAAGCACAACTGTTCTTGTTACTGGGATTGTTCCATAGTGGTATGAGCCTTGAGGGTTAGGTCTAGCTGCATTTGCTGTTAAATTCCATCTGATTGTTCTTGCTTGTTTCATTGACCAATGAATCTCATATGTGGGACCCCATGGTAGTAGTAAAGAAGCTTTAGTGGTGGAGCCATCATAGTGGAGGGTTGCTGTAGCTGTAAGAACTGGTTTGGTGAAACGAGTTGAGGCAACAATGAAGTAGTCTTTTAAGGGAGCATTAAGGTTGACCAAGAAAGAAGCGGATTGACCAACATGAATGTCTAGTGATTCGTATGATTCTTGTAAAGTATGTGATCCTTCAGTTTCGACTAGTGTCAGTGTATGATTTTGGATTCTGAAGTTAATTGAAGTGGTTAAGGCCACATTTGATACTCTAAACATGTATCTTTGACCTGAAAAGTTAGCTTAGTATGAGAAACTAGAAAGAAGTCAAGAATCCATGTCATGTTGAGTTTATAGAGTATGAAAAATGTAACCTTTTTGAGTAGTGAAAGAGGTTGATTGAACATGACCATTGATTAGTAGAGCATCAGCCATGGGAAGAGTGTTCCCAGAGTCGAGTGTTTGTTGTAGTGTCTGAAAAAGAACCTTATTTAACTGTTTGTCTACAATGTAACTGAGAAGGATATATGAAAGGGGAAAGAAAGAAAAAATAACCTTGTGATCAGATTTCCACCAATCACTGATGAGTAAAGTGAATTCCTCAACTGGTTTGAGATATGGGACAAAAATCACAGCTCTTGCTCGGACATTAATTGCCCCAAAACCACCAACAGCTCTATGCATCTTGGTTGAAGGGAAGTAGGAATAGGTTCCAATTTGATCTTTCATTTGCATTTGGTATGTCCAGTTTGAGTTTTGGTGGGATTGGGCAGTTTGTCCCCAAAACTCCATCTTGCCATGAGGTCTTTCTTTGTTTGATACCATTCCTAAAGTAGAGTTAATATGAGCCATGATCACAAAAAGCAAAAAAAACACAAGATCAAATCACAGGAAAGTACTTACCAGGTGATAAGAAAGGGCTCATCCAGCTTGTTAATGACATTGACAATTACATTGTCGTTGGTGATACAGTCAATGGTTGGGCCTGGGAACTTCCCATTGATAAGTATGCCCTAAAGTAATGGTAGACAAGAAGAGATTATAAGTTAAAGATATCATCATCATCATCATCATCATCATCTTGAAGTGTGCAATAAGTAGAAGTGTGTTGACTATTACCCTTTGTGAAACACCAAGAGGAGAAATTTGTCCGTATGTAACTTCAAATGTAAAAAATCTGTATGGGTCTTCAGCCTTCACAAAGAAGACACATAACCAAGCCAAAAGTCCAAGATAAAATGGTCGGATGATGGCCTGATACATGTTGTCTGAGTATGTCCTTCCAAGAATCTAATATCTGTACCATTAAATGATGGATTCAAACAAAACGATCATGAGAAAGAGAAACTAATAGGTAACTGTATAGATAGTCTTAAAAGAAGTTGATAAGACACCCATAACACTTCCATGCAAGCTATTTTTTGGACATTATAAGCCACATAGCTAACACATAATGTATCAAGTGTGCATGACTGTTATTGAATGCACATACAAAACTTGGCATTAAACCAAATATGTAAAGCAGTGCAATATGCAGCAAATAACTCATGTTCACAGTGTGACAGGATGGCAAATAACTCATTCAGCTTAGCAAGAGAAATCAAATACTTACAGTATTGGAAGAAGCAGAGCAGGATGAACCTCCCGGGTATGAATTGAAAGGGAATGAACAAAAGCGAGGAGATGAGAGTTTGATGATCAGAGACAAGTCCATTGGACAATTTATATACGAAGACAACGCCAAGAACATTTCATCGATTAAGAGAGTAACATGGAATCGATTTCGAAAATAGAAGCGAGATCTATTACGCCGTACTTCAAGGTGATCATTAATTAGCGGTGAGGAGTAATAGCAGCTCATGATTTTCAAAATGGGAAACTAATATTGAGATCTATTTGACCCAAGATAATTAATTGTCCCACTTCGTCAACAGGTTTATGCAAATTGAGACTCGACGATTAAACCCTAGAATGTCGCAGTGGAGAACGGATCAATCATAAATGCGTTCAAAAAATTTCCTTTGATTAATGATCTAAAGCTGAAGACTTTATGAAGAGAGAAGTGAAAGGGTTAGGGTTTATGCTAATCGCACATGGAAACAAGGCGCCAACCCGACCGGAAGCTTCTGTCAATCGTGCAGAAACCCTTCTTTCTTTACGCGCCAAAACACTATGTTTTATTTTATTTTTAAATAATATAAAAATATTAAAAAAATATTTATAAAAAAAATTGAAAATGAAACATGTTAAAAGTTAAAACAGAAAAGAACTATTCAAAATATATTTTAATTGTATACATTGCCTAAAATTTATTCATTCAAATAATTTGTTTGCCATGGAACTAATATGTTTACCAAATTAAATAGTTTATTCTTTTAAGTATTTCTAACATGCCAATTTGTTTACCAAATTAAGACGAACTAAATTGCAAACTCTAATATAAACCAACAATAAGATGATTGATAGCATATGTCCATATTGATAGCATGTATGATTCATTTAGGTTTTTATTGGTTATATTTTTGTATCATCCTTGTTTAGTATGAGCTGTATTCTATATGTTTGAATGACAATTTTTTAGTCTTAAGATAATAAACCACTGTAGTTGATAAAATATATATTATAGTTATAATAGTAGGTGAAAGTCAAAGTATTACCAAATGGAAAGTGCATTCCGAGGTGTGATCAAAAGTCAGAGTGTTCATATCTAATGACCTTTAATTAAAAAATGGTTTCCAAGTTTATTACTAGGAGTTTAAAGGTTATTGGATTTTTATGAGTTTTGTGTACGATGCATTTTAAATAAGGAAATTGAGTAATCTAACCATTTTTTTGGATTTTAAATAAAAATATAAACAAAATTTTTAAAAAAACTAACAATTTGGTGCAGAATTGGTCATTTCGGACCCGAAAACCGGCTCAAGCCCAATACTGTAGCCCAGTGGTGTATATATATATGGGTTTCACACACAAAAAATCCGGAATACGCATTTTGGAATTTGCAGATCTGAAGCATGATCTACCCGCATTTCGGACCAAATTTTCAGCATAGATTCGTCAAACCAAGTAATTTATATACTTTAAGTTACTTTGTACAACGATTTACATATTCTGGAATTGTCCGGAATGATCCGGAATACGAGGAACAACTCCGGAATATTATGATCGAATCCCTATTATCCTTTTTGTTATCTTTTTCTCGTTGTACGTGTATGAATCTCATGTAAGTACTTTGTAATGTGTTCGGATCACTTGTTTTAGTCCGGAATTATGTATTGTAGAGGTTCCGGAATGGTAATGTAGGTCCGAAACACGATGAACGTGGTCCAGAACCCGATGATTTTTTCCGGAATATTAATTCAGAATAACCGTACTTATAATTTTTTTCTAGGTATTGTTTAATAATCCATGTTAGTCCAAATGCGAGTTTACAATCTAACTAAATGATCCCAAAACATGCTTAGCAATATCATTGGATAACTGCAACTAGTAGATTGAATTACAAAGTTGTTGATCAATGTAATTCTTTTTCAGTTATCAGTCTTCCAAGCACCGACTAATGTTGCATAAACAACTTTCTTATTTTATGGTTTAACATGTTCCCTACCAATAAATCTCACATATATTTCTCACATAAAAATTTCTTATTAACATACTTCAATCCTTATAGTTTTTACCATATAACGGAACACTAATTGATTGAAAGGAATCATATTTTCATCCCCACAGAAACCAAAAACCAATAATGAATGAAATAGTAATTGAATACGGAAAAAGATCTATCAACCACACTTACTACATAATCAATAAATAGTGTCAAAAGTGGCTATTGACATATAAATTTAATACAATAAAGAATCATATCAAAAAATGGCTACTATTTTATTGATGATAGAAAACAACTTTCAATGAAAGGAAAAGAGAACTATGCACAAAAAGCAACGAAGATAAACTAGTGTTAGGAAATCAAGCGATACTTGTCAAGAATCAGAACAAATCTGATGTCACTTGCCAAGCTTTGGTACCACTTGTTAGGAAATTAGACGATACTTGTCAAGAATCAGAACATATCTAATGCCACTTTCCAAGCTCTTATACCACTTGTTAGGAAGTAAAACGGATAATAAGCAAAACCAAAAGCACACAAGACATCGTATTTATGTGGTTCGGTCAAGGTGATCTACGTCCACGAGCAGGAGGGGAATATTCTTTATTTCATAGTTCTTAAATAGAGGTTACAAGTACAGTTTCACAGAGATTTTCCTATCACTCTAGAATACAAGACATACAAATGACTTAGCATGCATCCTTATTTATACTTGAGGGATTAGACCTAAAACCCTAATGGGCCAAGCCCATTGGCCCATAGGCCCATGAATGGTACCAACCAGTCACATTTCTCCATGCAGTAGCTTCTGGAACATTCATCCATGACATACAACACATGAGTGTGATCAACGCACATGATGGAGCACCATGAGCCATAGTGAAGCATCATGATACATATGTGGCACATCATGAACACTAGTGCCCAACATCCATCATGGTGGCACAACATGGTGTATTCCTTGAGAATCACCAACTTTTGAGCATCATAGTGGACTTCATAGCACATGTGGCTCATCAAAACGCACCCTACACCAAGATGGCACATCTTGCATGAAGATGACCTGTCTCATGAAAGGATGGCGCAACTCCTTCTCATTTGGCGCGACATGCTCCCAATATGGTGTAACATCTTCACTTGGCGCAACATCTTTCCAATATGGTGCATGTGACATCACCAAAATCACGGTCATTTTAAAAATTTTATTTATGCTTATTTTAAAATCTCTGTAACCTTTTAAAGAAAAGTGTTGTGGAATTTGTTCCCGAAAAAACATGATAAATATGTTATCAAAGCATTTCCTAAGAAATGTATTTTATTCATTTTAAAACTTTGGGATGTCATCGTCAATACAGAAACATAAGCATAAATAGACCTTACATTCATTTACACTAGTGATCTACATCTCCTTAATTTCTCAGTGTAATGTAGCTTCATATCGACACCTGTGATACAAATAAACTAAGTGGGTCAGGTTGGGAAACCTGGTTATTATGTTTCATCATCAAACAATTAACCCATTTACCCATCCCCATTATCTTCTTTATTCTTAAGTATCTTCTCTATGAATCATCTACTCCTCGTTATTTATTCCTAAGGATTGTCCTAAGGAATAGGCACGAAGTCCATCGTCGTCAGGGTTTATATAACAGGCACTAAGTCCATAGTCGTCAGGGTTTATATAACAGACACTAAGTCCATAGTCGTCAGGGTTTATCTCGTTTATTGACAGTATTATTTTCGAGAGTCCACTCGCAATACATGTCAATGGGTTTTTAGAGTACACCGGTGAACGTCTCGTTCACAACACCTACAGGTTGCGAGCTTGCTAGTGTTCCACCAGACTGTCTAGAATAGTCTTTGGTTGTCATCCATACTCTGCTAGATGACAGGGCCAACGCTTGGGTAAAGGCTTCTCTCCTTTTTCACCTCTCACCCTCATCTCATGATCTATTTCACCTTTCATTTAATCATCCAACTCATCTTTCATCTACCCATCTTTACCCCTTGTAATTTATAGGTATAAAATAAGTATACAGTTTAAATCATTTAAAACATGTATAATAGTGTTCATCCAGCATAGATAACAAGTATACAGATAATATGCACACATAGCACGTAATTTATATAAAATACTTCATATCTATGTCTAAGATGAAAGTAACTATGCACTCACTTGTTAAAATTATGATTCCAAACTCGGGCAGCGCTTCGCTTTTAACGATTCTATTTTCCTTCGACGAAACCTAGCATTATTTTCGTTAAGTTTTAGTCTAATCTTTATTGCGACTAATTATTAGTCTAGATTCATCATTAACTCAAAGTCTACTTCATGATCTATCAAGTAAGAAACAACCAGGTATGATCATATCGGAGGTAAAGTCTGTTTGATATACGAAGTATACTGTTTGGAAATCCCACTTTAAATACCTCACTAAATCACAGCCTAGACATCATCCCCGTAAGTAGATCAATCAGTATAATGACTTTGAATCATTGATAAGTTTCATTTATAGGTTCATAATAACGATATTATATGCTATATTTAAAGCAGGGTAGCATAACTTACTTAGCTAGGAGTCGGGCTCTGCAGGGGCAGAACTTCGTCGTTGAATCTTTCTTAGAAAGATTCTTGCAGCGCTTCAACGCTCACCTTACTATACTAAAAACTACAGAAAGAAAAGTCGAATCGCGAGGGACCGAAATGCTCGGGGGATAAGAAAATAAAGACTCTTGAATCAAGAGAATGGTGCAAGAAATATGAGAGCCTAGAGGCTCTTATTTATAGTAATTGAATTTTCAAAAACCACTCTCTATATTTACTTAAATGACTAAACGCCCATTTATAATATTATTTTAAATAGATTTAATGATATTTGTACTGAACTAATGTCGAAAGTACTCAACACTAGTCTTATAACGACCGCATCGTCGATACCTTTCTAACGATATATTATATATATATATATATATATATATATATATATTATATATATATATATATATATATATATATATATATATATATATGTGTGTGTGTGTGTGTGTGTGTGTGTGTGTGTGTGATTTACACTTTATTTTAATACGTAAATGTGCTATTAAAAATT